CTAACATATTAGTTAGATGGGGGGATGTGTTGGTGATTAGTTCAGTTATAAGTGAAATTGAAGGACTAAATCAATATTTCTGTACATAAATATATATCACAAACAAAATAGATAAATAATTCAATAATGCCGAGGTTGTTTATAACTAACAGGTAGGGAAATAAGTAAACAGTTTTTGTTTTCATTGAAAGTCATTTTTCTTATATTTTTTAGATAATTGGCGATTTTGTTGTGAAACCTTCTGTGACTAAAACAACCTTAACTATTACGTTTTAAATACAAATGAATGGGGGAAGATAGTAATTTGGTGTAAAATCTCAACAGCTGGCAAGTTAGCAGACTCTGAAGTAAATCTGGACGTTAACAACGTAGACATTATGGATAAAATACTTTTATAACTGAGGCTGTGACCTTTGGTTGACATTGTGGGAGGAGTCTATGTGGAATAGGTTGTATTAAAGTTTCGGTCTTGAGACCTGATGTTTATGTAGTAACATTTGGATACAGGAATGATGGTCAAGTTTGTTCCTAAACGGGAGTTAAAGCTGGTGAACAAATGTTGTCCACTAAAGGAACAGTTAACAAAGTTGTCACAGTTTCATTAAAGTTGATGAACAGATGCTGTCCACAAGAGGAACAGTTAACAAAGTTGTCACTGTGTCCATGTTTCATTAAAGTTGGTGAACAGATGCTGTCCACAAGAGGAACAGTTAACAAAGTTGTCACTGTGTCCATGTTTCATTGAAGTTGATGAACAGATGTTTTCCACTAGAGGAATAGTTAATAAAGCTGTCACGGTGTCCATGTTTCATTAAAGTTGGTGAACAGATGCTGTCCACTAGAGGAACAGTTAACAAAGTTGTCACTGTGTCCATGTTTCATTAAAGTTGGCGAACAGATGTTGTCCATTAGAGGAACACTTAACAAAGTTGTCACTGTGTCCATGTTTCATTAAAGTTGATTAACAGATGTTTTCCACTAGAGGAATAGTTAATAAAGCTGTCACTGTGTCCATGTTTATAAAATACAAATAACATAATACTGTTACGTCTCCGTTTTTTAATTGATTTTCCGTAACTACGAAACTGAAGCGACACAAGCCTTTACTTAATAAAACTGGTTTATTCTTTCCGAATTTAACTTAACCGATACACTCAACTTCAACAATCGCGCTAAACAAACGCTATAGCAACGAACGTCCAACTGCAGTCACACGGTATTGTTGAAGTTAACGTTCGTTCGTTACAGTTTTAGCGCGAGTATTGAGATTAAGTGTATCGCAGAGTTATATTCGGAAAGAATAAACCAGTTTTATTAAGTAAAGAACTTGTGTCGTTAAAGTTTCGTTGGAACGAAGTTACGGAAAAACAATTACTCACTATCTATCTACACATTACATCTCCCTTCTTTTATATACCAGCGTAACCTATTTCTAGTAAGAACTTGAACATTCGACAAAGTACATGATATTTCTAGAAACGTTGCGTCACGGCGGTCATGTGACTGCTGACGCAACATAACGTATTATATTTAATGTATTGTTGTCAATGTATATATATAATATCTTAGTTAAAAATTGTCTAACACTAATTTGTAATTCTCTAAGGAGGGAGTTGTGACGGATTTATTATTCTCTATATATAGCAGGTCACAATTTTACAGTGATAGACTAGAGGGAAAATAGATAATCAACACCACCCACTGTCAACTCTTCCACTATTCTAATTGAATAATTGGCCTCCCCCTTCATGGTGTATCAACAAAAACAAAGAGCAGAGCTTCATTTTCATTTTTGGTAGTAATGAGGTGCAAACTATGGGATCTCTAATCTACAGCCTGACATACTAACCATTTGGCTACACTAGGCCCACAATATTTGACAGAGTTAAGTTTCTCAATTGAGCGAGAAAGTTATTCGGAGGACTGAAAGCTGTATTTATTACACTATCCCAAGAAAAGATTTTGTGAACTGTTAATATACATATGTCAACAAGTACTATTTTAATAGTGATAAATAACTATTTTTTAACCATTTATGTCTCTTTGTAACAAGGTTGTTTATGTTATAGAACTGTTATTAAAATTTAGAGGGATCGTTATGTTAAGAAGATCTTGCAGACATGCAGAAGGTTGACTTTTTGGAAGGATGCTAGAATGTTACTGGAAAGAATTAATTCTGTACTCGAAGACAGAGTTATAATTGTCATATTTTTTATAAATTTGCTTTATGAACCTGTTTGTGTTTTAATCATTAGAACTATATTTTTCCATATAGCATTTCGTTTTATGGGCCCTAAATCCTGTTGCGTCATCAAGATCACGTGACTATTCTCACGCCCTCTAGTTTCTAGAACTATTCCGTAAGTTGGCGAATGCTTTAGTATTTACTAGATAGGGTAGGCTGGTATATAAAAGAGGGTGACAACGTGACGAGATAATGTAATGTGTGTGTAGACAGTGAGTAATTTAACTGCAGTCACAGGGTATTGTTGCAGTTAACGTTCGTTCGTTATAGTGTTTGTTTTAGCGCGAATATTGAAAATAAGTGTATCGTAAAGTTGTATTCGGAAAGAATAAACCAGTTTTATTAAGTAAAGAACATGTGTCGCTAAAGTTTTGTCGGAACGAAGTTAAGGAAAGTTAATTAACAAACGGAGACGTAACAATATATATAAATTATATTATCTAAAACAAATGAAATACAGAATCTACTCAATTATTTTTATATAATATCAAGTTAATAAATATTACACTTAAGAATAGAAAATGTAATTTATACAAATGCATAAAATATCTTATCAAATTATTGAATCTCTGAGCATGAAATTTTTCAGCTGAAAACCTAAATGTGTTTTATGCAACTGATGACTAATAGTATGTCCTTATGAGTTCTGATATTTTTCATTACAATAGCACATATAAAAAAATATCAAACCAAATAAAGTGGTTCAACAGAAATTCTCAACTGAAACATAAAAGCTTTAATCAATTAAATTTTGCTGTATTTTGATTTGTTAACAAGAATTAAATATCATAGCGTGGGAAGTTTAAGAATATAGTGTTCTACTTCACTTCTGAAAAGTATTAGGAATTACATCAGAAATGGAAGATGTCATAAATACATTATTAAACTTACTTACGACAAATAAAATTATTTCTAAATATATGAACACAATAAAATGATTCTTCAGGTAAAATATTCAAACCTTTATTAGACGGTGCATTCAGTCTTTAATTGGCTTATATTGCAAGTGTTTTTGTTTTTTGTTTTTTGTAAAGAAAGTAGGAAACGACAAAATGATGCTGGTAAAATATAATTAAAAACAAAAGTTACTTAAGAACTTACTGAACCTGAACTGTGTGTTTGTCATTTATGTCTGATTGATTAAGTTTTGAACTCTAACAAGATTTCTTCAAAACCCTCCGAGGGTTGATTCCATGTGTGAAATGTATATTTAAAACCAATCTTTTCAAGCAAATGTTTTTCTGGTTCAATCTTGTAATTTCTGAAAATTCGAGAACGTATTTCAAATGATGTTGTTCAGCCACGTCAGGTTGTTTCCTTTTATATGCTCTTATGAAGCCGGGTAAGAAAGCGTAGAAATTAGCCTAAACAAGATTCAAACAAACTTACTCAGTCTGGATGTAATTTGTAAACTTTACTACCACTGTAACTATGATTGTATTGTACTGATAATAATTACTTATACATTACAATATAAAGAATGTCATGCTTTCATACATCAACATGCAATCAAATACCGATATTTTTATATAAGACTTTTAACTATAGTTTGTTTGTTTTTGAATTTCGCTCAAAGCTACGCGAGGGCTATCTACACTAGCCGTCTCTAATTTAGCAGTGTAAGACTAGAGGGAAGGCAGCTAGTCATCACTACCCACCGCCAACTCTTGGGCTACTCTTTCACTAACGAATAGTGGGAGTGACCGTCACAATATAACACCCCCACGGCTGAAAGGGCGAGCATGTTTGGTGGGACAGAGATTCAAACCCGCGACCCTTAGATTGCGAGTTGAGCGCCTTAACCACCTGGCCATGCCGGGCGATTTATAGAACTTTAAGTTGGCTGCCACTTAGGCATCAAAGTGTGGCTTTCCTACCATACAGCAATGCTAAACAGATATTTAAAATGTTTAACTGACACAAGCATTGACAGGCTTACCCACAAAATATATTTCATTATTTTAGTCACAAATAATTATAAATAATTTAGAACTATTCATTGAATATACTTAAATAGTTTTCTTGTGAAATATTGTTTAGTTAAGAAATCAGTTCAAACATATTTTATATTTAGACTGTGTAGATAGAATGATAAACAGACCTGCTAGTCTTAATGCTGACATTCTCTGGAATTCTGGCTCTTCCAGCCACATATACATCCTCCGGAAAGTTTCTCGACCGGACTTCAGTTTGCTCCAAGGTTTGGGGTTGCGTAGTAGGTCAGAAAGGGTTCCTTGTGAGCGACACAGTACACGTTGAGCGAAGATGGCCTGAGGGATGCTGTAACGTTTTAGTTCGGCACTTATTCTCTGAGCTAACTCTTTGGTATTAATTTCTTCTTCCACATCATCTACAGAGGAGGACTTAGGGAGTGAGGTTGCAGAGGTTTCTAAAGTTTTGATGGGGATTGACGTCGATAGGCTTTCATCACCATTGGACACATTTATAGTAGCAATAGCCACAAGAGGTTGTGAGATGGTCAACCCCACATCAGATGAAGTAGTGAAAGCCGTTGCAGTTACCGATTTAGTGTCTTCCTGCTCAGGTGTAATCACTGGACTGGTCAGTTGAACTGATGGGGGAGTCTCAGGGGCATTCAAGCCGTTCAAAGTAGGCATCAGACTCGTGGGGGAGTGCAAACTGACAGGAGGACTCTGTGGAGGTTTCAAGTTTCGTGTCTGATCTCGTAGACTATAGGTATCGTATCCGTTGTTTGATATCCCTTTTTCAGGCGATTCGTGTCCGTTCTGAGAATAATTTGGGGAGGGGATGCCCACATGAGTGGCTAACGGGAGAAACCCATTAGTGTTCATCATAGCAATGGGTGAGGGATGTGTAGCTCCCAGAGTAGGACTAATATTCATCACAGTCATGCCACCAGACTTGTCGTATTGATAACTACTCATGGTCATTCCTTGAAGTAGAACAAAGCTGCTACCTGCATGCCCGTAATGGCTAAATTTATCAGACATAGTAGAGATGGGGGGCAGTGGTTGAAGTGGGGTCAGTGTAGCGTAGCTGCTGCCAGAAGAGAAACTTGGGGACATTCGTCCACTCAGAGTGTGGTAGGGGGATCCGCTAAAAGCGCGAAAATCGGCTAAGTCCAGCATGCTGGAATTTTCTGCTTCGTCGTCGCCGTCAGAAGAGTGGGGAGCCAACAGTTTAGTCGGCTCGGTAATATGCTCTGACTGCACTGGTTCTGTCGACTCGTCGCCGTCCAGTTCGGCCAGGTTATCCATGATAAGATTGGCTTAATGTAAAAATTATAGTTTATCGACCGGTTCCACCTGCTAGGTTGGTTTCTTAGCTCCTACTGATTGGGTTTTTAACAGGATCAAGGGCTGGGAATGGACAAAGACGCGTCACCTTAATACACGGTCGCCATCTTCCCATTATAAACACTGCGCATATCATTACGCGCATCCTCTCTAGCGCAGGCGTCCCAGAATAGGTTTTTGTTCGTTTGCTTCTGTGTTAGAAAGAAGCATTGTTAAGGCTAGTCGTAAAATGAAGTTGATAGATTCTAAGTATATAATTCTGAACCTGTATTTGTAAACACTTAAACAAATATGCTCTTGCTTTCGTGAAAAGCCATGCACTGAACGTTGAAATCAATTGGTGTCGTGTAGACAAACATTTAGTATTAAAGTACCCCTGACAATCACTATAATACATATGGAAGAAACAATTGAGTTTTCCATTCACTTTAAAGAAAGTGACAATATCCTAGTACAACAGCGAACTAAGTAACTGATAGCGGTCACTTCAGAAAATTTTCAGTAAATTAAACTCACACAGTAATATTATGACCCGAGAAACAACATCATATCAAGAACTACGTTTACAGCGTATTGAGAAGAGCCAACTTCAGCACCTAGCGTGCATTTTAATTCAATCTTTGTTCTCACTGTATCATAAACTGTAAAAATGGAATAGACATTTCAATTTTTTTTCCTAACTATGTAACATATATTCCAATTATGATAGTTATGGTATCAACACATACCACAAATACTAAATACAACATTCATAATTACTGCCTAATTATTCTTGTTAAACATAGTTTGTTTTCTTGTAAATTATTTTTGCGAAAATCTCTCTGTTTTAATATGTGATATTCGTTAGGAAATATCACCTAGATTAAAACCATGATAATCTGTATGTTAAGTGTATGGTACAAATGTAAGTATTGCTTTATGATGCTATAAATATAAATTATGGGTATATTAGTTGTTTTCTAGACGTATTACAAAGGTTATCACCGTACGTTAATTATATAGTTTGACTGATGGCATCTGCTAGAAACAAGTTTTAGAACGTCTAGTTCCATGTTGTTGTTTTTTAAATAAAATAAAAACAAATTAATATTCTTCTTTTGCCTTTCGCAAAAAAAAATTAAATCATTTGTTTTACTGTCGAGTAAATCTGCAACTATGATACAAGCAACAAAGCCAAGCGCACGAACCCGCCTCTCGAGCGCACCACGACAGTTTAGCACAGAAGTAATTAAACGTTCTTGCGAGATCCTCCAACGATAGCAAAACTGGAGTTGCGGCCTTTTAAGGATGATATCGTGTAGACTAGAGTTGTCGCCATTATTGCCTACTACGATATTAACGATATTTTATACTATGATACTACTGAACGTAAACACTTTAATAAAATCTTTGGAATACGGTACAAATAAAAACATTGGAAAATCTTTATAACAGAAAGTGGTCTAGATTACACTGCCAATTATAGCACCCAATATGAAACTTAACATTCGTGAGATTTTAACTGCTACAGTTTTAAAGGTTATTTTATTTTTCGCATGTTAATGTTTTTATTACTATCCAAGCAACCAGATAAACAGATTTGTACCTGTATAAAAATGTCAGAGAAAGTCCATGAAGCAAACCAATCAAGAGTGGTTAAAAAAACGTTGATGAAATTGGAACTTGGTAGCTGAGGCTGAAGAAAATGTAATTAGTACTGTTGGCAGTTAAGTGATTACAATAAACGTAACTGTTCTTTAGTCAGATTTTTTTTTTTGCCCATCATTAACTGGCACATCTGGAAATAATAAACGGGAGCTTAATAAGTTTTAGATGAATTCATAATATAAATAGTTATTAAATTAGTTTTATCTGTTAGCTTTAATTTCTAAACAGTTAGGCCTTATCCAAAACATTTTAAGACAGCTCATACCAAAATGAAGATGCTTGATATTTCAATAAGAATACTCTACATTTTAAGTGTCAGTTGTAGTATTACAAATAATATAAAGTAATTTAAGTATTATATCGTAGATAGTTGAGTTCAATAATCCAAAAACTCGGAGTAATACAAAAATTTGTTTCTCACACCGCGTTCTTATTTTCAGTTTGTTTTTTTTGTCTGTCTCATATTGGCTCATGAAAAGTCTGTAGTCGAGTGAAATAGCCTAACAACTTGAAAAACTGAAATCCAAAAACACACATCACAGAAGTTGTTTAACGTTTCAAAAGAAGTGAATGTGGCACATCTAAATTTAGAATAATCTAATTTTAATTGCCAGTGTAGATGACAATTGAAACGCAACAGAAAGTCTAACCAAAGGATTTACAATGTTGGATGTTTAACACAAAAAACTGCATAGTCGTGAAAATCTAAAGGAAAAAAAAAACAACTAAATGCTATATTTCACAAATAATATATATATATTGTTATACTGTTATATTTCAGAGTCTTACTTTCCTTTGGTGAAATAGGTATTGTTAGATGCAAACCGTTTTGCATAATTATGTTCACATAATAAAAACATAATTTCACGTTAATTATTCGTTTATAATTATTTGTTTTTCATGATAACAAAAGTTTAATCTAAATTTTCTTCATAAGAACCATTAATTACAACTCGCTCTTTATTGAACTGATGTTTATTTTTGGAGTATTTTGCTAAGAAAAATCTCATTATCATATACAGAACCACGTATGACATGGGAAACACGTTTTATAGGATTTTTTTGCGATCCCTTGATATCACACAGGTAAGTTTCAGAGCTGATATAGTTTAAATTCAAAGTTCGATCCCAGCGGTGGACATAGAGCAGATACCCCATTATACAATTAACCAATATAAAGTGTCATCCTATTCGCTGATGCCACGTGATCGATGCTAATCCTAAGTTTTGAAGTATACATAATAATTGTGTTTTAGAAGTTTATGGGGGATTTTACTGCATAACACTGCAGTACTGCTAAAAATACTCGTTTCTACGAGTTTTGTTCTCTTTTCTTGAATATTTGTATTTTTGGATAAAAATATCAGAAACAGATTATCCTCAGTCAACCTGAAATCATAGTCTTGAATACTAAATGGAATGGGTTGAGATATGTCTTTACTTGGATATTCCGAAATACCGGCATAGCATAGATAGCTTTCAACCAGCAACAACTGCAATGAGACCTAGAACACTAAGATATTTTTTTCTAACTTATTAATATCAACTGTTATTGCTGAGTACAGCTAAAACCAAGACTTCATCATTTGAATCTTTTTAAACAAATACTCCTCGTCTGTTTGTTTGTAATTAAGCACAAAGCTATACAATGGGCTATCTGTGCTCTACCCACCACGGGTATCGAAACCCGGATTCTAGCGTTGTAAGTCTGCAGACATACCGCTGTGCCACTGGGGGGGGGCGAGCAATACTCCTCGTAAAATATGAGACCACATTCATGAGTGCCTTTGACGTCATCTAGATCTTATCTGAACATTTTATGTGAACAACAACATTTCAGATATATTTTCAGTAATATAAACTCATACAATATTATTAGGACTCGAGAAACAACATCATATCCAGAGCTACGTGTACAGCGTTTTAAGGAATATTTATACAGAGAACAGATAGCGCATTGTGTGCTTAGCGCAAAAAAAAAGAAGAAAAATAAAACGTCAAGCAAACAAACACTATACAGGCTGAGAACATAGCTATAGGAAATTCATTTTGAGAATATTCAGATAGTCGCGCAAAGTTACAAAAGAGATATCTGCACTAGACGTCCTAATTTTGCACTGATTGACTAGAGGAAAGGTAACTAGTCAACAGCAACCAAGGATAATCCTTGTCTGGTTGAATAGTAGAATTTCCACCCACATGTGGAGTGCGATTTTACGGCAACGAGGCACGAATCATGGGGTACACATTAACCATTAAGCCACGCCCTCAGCTTGAGGCAATGGAGAATATGAACAGTGTACGGTGTTTGTTAGTGTACATTCAACAAAAAGTAATACTGTTCTTTTTGTATTATTCATATTTATCTTTAAGTTACTTCGATGTCTGTACACGACCCAAAATCAGGAGACTAGGTTTAATGCATTTACTTTCCATGAAAGTAGTGAAATGTAATAGTATATGATTGGAATGTACAGAGTGAGTTATGTGGAACATCATTAAAAATGAGACACGGAGTCTACGTCAAGATAGATCCAATTCTGATACACTTTGGCGAAACTTTGTAGCTGATTATGCAGACTAGTGATCAAATCGTTGTTATAAGGTATGCAGATCCGTATTTCGTTGCTTATACGAAAGTGTACCTGCAGAGACATTACTTAAGAGATATAGTAAGTTCTTAGATATAGGCTACACCTGCTCTTATTTCCTGCAATTACCCTTGATGTTCATTCGTTTTCCCATTATTTTGAATGTATTGAGTGATGTTTGTACTGTAAAATTAAATGGGCTGCTTCAAGATATCTTCATGTATTTTATCGTTGTTATTTTTATCTGTCATGAATGTTTGTGGTTATTTACAAAAGTCTAAGTAAGATAAAGTATTATTGTATCTTTATTAAATAGTAACTTGTACAATCACTATTTAAGATATTTTTCCTAAATAGCATGAACTAATCATGTTAGTTTGAAGCAGGAAAACATGTAAACAAAAAGCACTGAAACTGTTTACAATGTCTCCACATTGTTGTCCGTCGCTCGGTGGTCAACGGTAAATTTAAAGACTTACACTAAAACGAGAGGTTTGATTTTCGCGGTATACATAGTACAAATAGCCCATTGTGTGCAAAAGAAAAAAATAAAGTCAAGCAAACAAGCACTGTTTTCTCTGAATACCCACTTCATCAGTTAAAGATTACCCAGAAGTTCCGCTAAGTTTTCTTATTTAGAATACGTGTTTAATAATGATGAGAATGGAAACGGTATCTTTTCTGATAGAGATTATTAATATACACCTCGGAAGTTTGTATAGAGCTTTGCTTCAAATAAAATTACTTCATTAGTGGGGTAAACAATTTGTGGAATACGTTTGTCGAAGAAGGTAATGCTTTTGGCTAAGTTATTGTTCTTTCAAATTTCCATTAAGCGAAATAATGGAAAATAAGGAAAATA